TGGCTGGCGCCTTAGCCGGTTGAGCTATAGGCGCCGAGCCAATTTTTCTTTTTTGAGACAGAGTCTCACGTTGTCACCCTCAGTAGGGTGCTATGGTATCACAGCACAGCAATCTCAAACTCTTGGGCTCAAGCGATTCTCTTGCCTCAGCCTCCCAAGTAGTTAGGATTACAGGCACCCACCACAACACCCAGCTATTTTTAGAGATGGGGTTTGCTTTTGCGCAGGCTGGTCTTGAACCCATGAGCTCAGGCAATCTGCCCGCCTCGGACTCCCAGAGTACTAAGATTACAGGCATGAGCCACCTCGATTGGCCTAAAGATAATACAAATTCTTTTATTGGTCTAAATTAGCACAACCTTTCTGAATGTTCGAATCACCTTTTGTTCTACATGATAATATTATTTACAGGTATTTATCCTAATAACTAAAAATGCAGAAAGGTTAATGTACTAAAATTTTTAGTGCCCTTTAATTTAACTTGGTATTCACTCATGAAAATCATTATTTGGGAAAAGATTTAAGAGGCATGAAAAAATATTATAATACATTATTAATGTGAAAAATACAGAAAACTGTATACAGAGACCAGATTTATGGGGAAAAATATAGCTGACCTTTGAACAACACAAGCTGGAACTTTGCAGGTCCACTCATGGTTGGATTTTCTTCTGTTCCTGCCACGGCAAGATCAACCTCTCCTCCTCCTACTTTTCCTCGGCCTATTCAACTTGAAGACGATGAGGATGATCAGCAGTAAATATATCTTCTCATCCTTCTATCTTTCTTACTAACAATTTCTTTCCTTTAGCTTATTATACTTTAAGAATACAATAATATATATATTTATGTAATACATAAACCCTAGAGAAGAGGCTGGTCTTGAACTCCTGAGCTAAAGCAATCCTCCTGCCTTGGCCTCCCAAGAGTGCTTGCACTATAGGTGTGAGTCATCTCAATCAGTCAATCAAAAAATGAAAAAGAAAGGAGGAAAACAGGACATAGGATCTGGATTAGTTTCCAAATGTATCTCCCCTCCTTACAGCAAAGGTGTAGTAGGTTTGTGCAGGTGTATCCTGGGGCTCACTGCCGTCCCTGACAGGTGACAAGCTCAAGAGCTGGGGCCACTGGTTTGATGCAATAAATAATCTCTCATGTTTAACTTTTGATCTTGGTTAATCAAATATGAAAAGAAAAAAACGTGAAAGGACAAAGCTTTATGGGGTTTGAGATTGTTTTTCCAAAAGCACAGCACTTCCCTAGGATCTAAGAAGTGCTTGGTAATGACCAATCTGAGAAATACACAAATACAACAGAACAAATCACGGCCCTAATGCACGTACTTAAACATCCATTCTAAAATATATTTGTCTTACTGTTTTTCCTCCAAAAAAGATGATCTAGTGAAAAATTTAAGAGCAAATTTGCTTTGTGTTATTTGCTCTTATCCCCGTGCAATTTTTCTGGAAAGTTCTGACTGAATTAGGCAGGATTGCTTTACAGAAGATCAGCGAGTTGACTAACAATGAGATCAATGTAAAAAACAAACAAACAAACAAAACCCTATATCAACAGATTATTTGAATTTTAGTTCTTCCTGCCCACTACAAATCTTTATGCTAGAATGTATTAGAATTATACCTTCAGCTCTAACTTTAACACAGGTAGTTTGTTTTGTTTTGTCTTGTTTTAAGTGTGTATGAAAGCCAAATGACAACTCCAGTCCAGGGACTCTCACTTGACCCCATCATTAAAATCTAGCTGTGAACTGCAGGGGGAGGGAGGGTTCCTCCTCCACCACTTCCTATGAACTGAATCATCAGAAGGTCAACTGCCAAGTTCTCCATGGGCGTCTATCAAGCCTGCAAAGCACCTTCTACGTGCCTATACGCACATTAGAAAAAGTAAAGTCTCAAGATTTCATGGAAACAGAATTCCTCAGCAAAGGGACCCATTAAAGAGCCTGCATACTTGGAGTAGGCAAAAGCCATTCTCCCAAGTTCAGATCCTGCATGTTAGAGACCTGCTGGGGGTGGGGGGGGCAGCAGTGTCAGTTTGTCCTGAGATGCCTTTCACCACCAGGCTGTAAGAACACACAGAACTGGGGCTGGGGAGGTGAGGCTCTAGTTGGAGCCAGAGCTAATCAAACAATTCCACTGGCACTTCCACAAGCCAAATCGTTTTTGCAAGACTCTGCCATGAGAGGCAAAACTAAGGTTATGATAGTCACCACCAGGGTGACTGCCCTGGGGACATTGCACAAGAGTCCCTTCACTTTTTTTACATGTCACCATAACCGCAGGTGAGGACATTGACCCCTGTCGACTCATTTTGGGGTATGATTCGTCTGTCGGCCACCACGCTTGTCCTTACAGGTAGACTCCAGCTTTTATTAACCTGCGTATTCAGTATCAGTGCACCAAACAACTAATTTGCTGCAGGCTTTCCTGGCCTGCTCAGGAATTCCCCGACAGATTGTGACATGATGACGACCACCTAGAGGTACTCCAAGCAACTGACATGCACAAGGTAATATTTTCTTAAGTCCCTAAAAGGAAGGCACCTGGACAGGTGCTTCATTTGTAAATGACATGAAAATGATCAGTTCCAACACAGGCAGCGCCAGGCTGCACTTCAGACCTCCTCTCCTGACAGACTCTCTGGCTACTTTAAGCCAGGTAGAATATGTATCACCAAGGTTGGCCGGGAGTAAAAAAAAAAAAGAAGAACCATAAGATGTGGACACACATTTGAACCAGCAGAGCAGGTACACAGGGACTGGATACCAGTTGCAAGACAGGAACACGAGAGCAGGAGTGCTGGCCCCTGGGCCAGCGTGAAGTCTTAAGCGCTTTGCATCCACACAGATGTCTCAGAGATCAGTTTTCTCTGATGAAGGACAGGGCCATGCCTGAGGGAAGATTTCAGTGTTCTCATTCACGGCTAAAACAGAGCAAACTCTTAACACGCCAGGAAAACTGGGGAGCACATGGACAGTTTTCGCATAAATGCTTTCTCTGTTCTGCTGGAGACAAAATAACACACCTTCCCCAGCTGGCCAAGGTTAGGCACCCATGGTGATTGTTCTCGAGCAAACTGTACAACTGGACAGAAATAACCTCACGACCTTCACAGTTTCAGGTGGCTGAAGTACTGACTTTCTGGCTATGCCTTTTGCAGGAAGCAAATCTTTCTTCCCACTGGGGCAAAGACGTTTCCCCCCTCCCTGCTTTCCTTCTTCTCCACCCCCACCCCTTTCTGATAAGAAAAGACAGAAAAATCAGGCCTATACACAATCTACCAGAATCCTGAAGACTGCTGGCCTGAATTAGGCAAGCATTTCCAACCAGGTTAGAATTTTCTTTAAGACCTGGCCATCTCCCTCCCTTCAACAATTCTTTATTCCCTCCCAAAAGGTTCGACTGCTACAACCGGGCAGAGTAGACATCTTTTCCCTTTGTACTCAGACCATGGGACCCTTATGCAACAGCCTGAAAAGTTACTTATGTCCCCTGAGCCTATCTCCACCACCCAAAGCAGTCCTGAGATAAGTATTTGTGAATGAGGCGGCATGTTCTAGGAAAAAGATAAGTTAAAATGACACTGCCCCCGCCATCTGAAAATGTACAAGGGAGAGCACACAGCATTGGCCTAGACGAAAGCCTGCACCTAGCTGTTCCCCTCTGGTAAGCCACACTCCTGCTCTGGGCCTGAGGTTTCTCCTCCCAGGGCCCTGCTAGTTCTGACACTGGACATGCTAACAAGGCCTGGTGACAGCGTCTCTTCCCACTAAATTTTCCCTAAATACCCAACTCTATTTTTGCGATAAGTCCTTTGGCCGTCTTCATTTTAGCCTTGGCTTCTGAATAACTCTACCAAATAAACCATTTTCTCTTCTCTTCCTCTCGCCCAGACTCTCCTCCCTCCTGCTGGTCCCTGCCTGTCCTGGGGAGGCCCGGGCTGGAGAACCCACAGGCTCTAACACCTTCCAACAACTCTCCCAGTTCCAAGTCTTTCCTTCCTAGTCTGCTCTTCATCAGAAAACAATACGGCGACAGTTCCCACATCTTCAAATATGTACATATGTTGTTCTAGGGCCCCACCCGGTCTTTTACAGTTACTGCCCCTTCTACACCCGGTTCTCTGGGTTCAAAAAGGTGGCAGGAACAGGGTACCAGGGACAGGCCAATGTGTCCAGGCTGGAGGATCCCACAAGTCACTCCTTCACCCTGTCCCCTCCGGCCAGGCCGGCCCGGCTTGCACCCCGCCCCCGACCTCCTCTCGAGCCTCGTCTCGCGCTGCACCCACCTTCGGGGCCGCAGAAGCGCCCCTGCCCCAGCTCGCTCGCTGCATCTGAGCCACCGGCCTACGTGAGCGGCGGTGTGTCCGGGAGGCAGGGTCTGGGCTCGGTTCCCGGAGATGTGACCGGCAGGGGGAGGGAGACGACAAGGAGGAGGAGCCCAGGATATCGCACCGGGGCGGGGCGTGGCGGGCGGCTGGGCAACCCCGGCCACAGCGCGCCGCACGAGCACCCCCGCGCGGCCGCTTCGCCCCCAGCCCGCGACGGTCCTGTCCCGGGGCCCGGGGGTAGCTCTGTGTCCCGTCGCCCTTGGCGACCCGAGAGACTACCAAGTGGTTCCTTGCCTTTTACTGGGAAACTGAGGCGCGCTGCTTCAGACCTCACCGCCCAACTCCAGAGCCATCCTTCAGGAGTGCCATCTCCGGGGCGGGACTCTTGTGCTACTTTTGAGCCCGGGACCCCCGGAGGCGAGGGTAGGGAATTAACATTCCCACCCCCAGCCCCGGGCCACCTCCCGCGGTCCGGCCTCGCAGGGCGGTGGCACACGTGAGTCGACGGGGCTCATCCCAGCCGTGCTCCCCGGGTCAGCCTCCCCACGTGCAGGCTACAGTGTACTGGGGCCGGTCGGTGTGTCACTGCGAGTTGGACGGTGGAACTGTAGGTGTCCCTGGCCCTGCACCTCGGGCTCGAGGAGTACATACCAGGTGCGGTTCGTAAGTCCCGCGGCAGCATTCGCGCGTGGGGCCAGGGCAGCGGCCGCGACGGCAGGAGTGGGGCTGTGCTCAGGTCCGTGCGTCCCCGACAGCTGCCCGCTCCCCTCCTCTCTCTGGCCAGTCACCCGGGACTCGGGTTGCCCGCGGCCGCGCTGCCCCCTTTAACTTTCCGGCCACCTCTCCCGACCCGGGGTTCCATCCCAGACCCCCCTTCACGTGGACGCGACCCGCAGCCAATGGGCGCTCCCGGGACTCGAGCCGCCGGCCAATGGGCGCGCAGCCGCAGCCCGCGGAGCACCGCTCCACCACGTGATCGGCCGCGCGCCCGGAGCGACGGGCGGGAGGCCAGGGTCTGGGAAGCGGGCGGTGGGTCACCATTTCAACAGGAGCTGGAGGCTGGGCGCCAGGGGGCAGAGGCGATTCCCAGTAGAAGAGCGTCCCCTTTCAGCCAGAGGGCTTTTTATAAAGTCGGTATTGGGGCAGAGGACCGACACCCATGGCACTGACTGGCCCACAGATAAAGTTAAGCGTTTCTGAGGTAGGTGTATTTTAGAGACCACCTGACGTGACTGTTACAATAACTATGAAAATCTACAGGGCCTTTGTGATGCTGATGTACCTTGAGAAATATGCGGAATATGACCTTAAAACAAATAAAAAAAGAAAATGATAACCTTAGTAGCGCTTGAATCAGAGGCTCCTCCCATAGGAAGTCAATTTAAATGTAAATTGAATATTTACATATATTCAGAACTTGCCACTTTAGGGATAAGGCTCTCGGTTTTCTAATGACCAGTAAATTTTTAGAAAGAATATTGAAAATTGGCATAGGATTGCCAGCTTTTTTTTTTTTTTTTTTTTGAGACAGAGCCTCAAGCTGTACCCCTGGGCAGAGTGCCATGGCATTACAGCTCACAGCAACCTCCAACTCCTGGGCTCAAGCGAGTCTCCTGCCTCAGCCTCCCAAGTAGCTGGGACCACAGGCGCCTGCCACAACGCCCGGCTATTTTTTGGTTGCAGCCGTCATTGTTGTTTGGCGGGCCCGGGCTGGGGATTCGAACCCGCCACCTTAGGTGTACATGGCTGGCGCCTTAGCCAGTTGAGCCATAGGCGCCGAGCCGGATTGCCAGCTTTTTAAAGTGCCAAATAAGGCGGGGCGTCGTGGTCCATGCCTGTAATCCTAGCATTTTAAGAAGTGGGAGGATCAGCTCAGCGCCTGTGGCTCAAGTGGCTAAGGCGCCAGCCACATACACCTAAGGTGGCAGGTTTGAATCCAGCCCGGCCGCCAAACAATAATGACGGCTGCAACCAAAAAAATAGCCAGGCGTTGTGGCAAGCGCCTGTGGTCCCAGCTACTTGGGAGGCTGAGGCAGGAAACTCACTTAAGCCCAGGAGTTGGAGGGTGCTGTGAGCTGTGATACCACTGCACTCTACTCAGGGTGACAGCTTGAGGCTCGGTCTCAGAAAAAAAAAAAAAGAGGTGGGAGAATCACTTGAGCTTAGCACTTCAAGACCAACTGGAGCAAGAGAAAGACCTGGTCTCAACTAAAAATAGAAAAATTAGCTGGGGTGGCAGGGGACTATATTCCCAGCTACTGGGGAGGCTGAGGCAGGAGGATTGCTTGAGCCCAGGAATTTGAGGTTGCTGTGAGCCATACTGACCCCATAGAACTCTACCAAGAGCGAGACAGAGCAACACCACCACCCCAAACTGCTAAATGAAGACATTAAAATAAACCCTATCATCTTTTATCGCCATCCTTTTATTTTTTATTTTAAAAAGTATTCTTTAACAGCAAGAACAACAAAATGGGGGCATAATCTCATAGTAAAGGCCAGTCCTTCACTTTGTGAAAATTCATCATGTTGAATTAGGGAATTTCTGCTCTAAGGGATGTAGGATCAGCTTCCGGTTTTACTAGAAATGCAAGACTTAAAACTAATTGGTTGCAGTAATCCAGTACAAGCCTTGGACTCTGTAGAGAGCTCCCCCAGTGCAGTCTTCCCCTCTAAGGGATGAAGGCTGATCCTTAGCCCTCTTCTTTTTCTCCTGGATGGGCAGGTATGATAAAGGACCACCTGGGAAGTCACCTTTTGGTAGGCGGTTGGCAAAAAGCGTTTCTACGCAATGTTCCCTCTGCCAGCTTTCTACCTCCTTTTGTTAGCTGATGAGTAGGTTGAACATTTGTAAGCCAAGTGCTGGCTAAGTTTTTCTCAAGTGTAGTGAGTCATGCTCAAGGAGTATACAGAAACAAAGAGCTAGGTACTGCAAAATGCACGCAGGCAAAGGATGATCCGAACCAAACTGGGGAGGGAGTTGGGACAGGGAGTTGGGGCATTAGGGTTTGGAAGCGTTTTTCGTATATAGATCTAGGAAACCATGGGCAATAATTTCCCCTGTGGTTTAGATGACTATTTCAGGTCAGGAGTGTGGGGGCTAAACTTAGTTGTGGCACGCCACAGCCTGGGTAGGTAGGAGTGTGGCATCTGTGAGTTTGAAAAGAGCAGTCTTCTTTGCAGTCAGAATAGAGCTGGGATGCATTTCAGGGGGTGGCGGTGGGGTGGGGAGTACTGTTCTAACACGAGACACAGCAGTCCAGAACCCCAAAACCTGAGAGCTGGACCTCTCCTTAGATACCATCGCCATCTTCTTTCACCTTCTACAAAAAGGGAAAGTGGAATGGAAAATATTAACCCTTTAGTCAATGCACACTGAGTTTGTTATATAATTTCTGGCATTGGACTTTAGCCTTAATTTAAATTAATACTTTGCTCCTTCGAGGATAAACCAGAAAACAGCAGTGGTTAAGTGTAGCTAATTATGATTCCTCCACAAACTGTCCGTTTTGGTGGCTGTCAGTCTATCTTCTTCCTTGCACTTGGGCTCATCTGTGACTCTTTCATTCTCTCTTGTTATTCATTCATTCACTCACTCATTCATTCAACACATTATTGAGGAACCACCATAATTCTGAATGCTGAAAGTGGAAAAATTAGTGAATATAATCTTATCTCAGAAGCTCATAGGCTAATAAGTAATGATTTGGGATAAATGTATAGAAGGGAAGTCTCTGTGTTTGGGGAGTTTAGAGGAAGACTCTGTGTTTAGCATTCAGAGTGGCTGTGGCACCGAGGAGGTCGGAGGAGGTTCCCAGAGCCATGACCATTCACAGGGTTTTGGAAGGAGGAGTTAGAATCAAAGGTGACAGAAAGGAACAGGATAGGATTGGCAAAGACTACACAGTTCTCTAAGTTCCCTAAACAATTGCCACTCTGCTGATTAAAAATTAAGTCTTCCTTCTGGCTTAAATATTAGACAATGTTCCTTTATATCTGTGTTACCTTTATCTTTCTGCTCATCCAGAACGTTTTCCAAAATACTGCAAAGTTTTTTGTCCTTCTCAACATAATGCAAAACAGCTCAAACCCAGGTTGTCCTATGGTCCCGCAAGATTTTGGAAGATAGACTGTTGTTTTTTGAGTTCTACCATTGCTTCCCTTAGAATGAAAATTATTGTAAAATTAATCTATGTTAAAAATAACCAGCATCAGAAGTCAGACTAAAGAAGAGAACATTCTTCTGCTTGATCAGAATAGAAAGTGGGAAAGACTGTTTCCAAGCTGCCTAAGTCAATTTATATTTAGCCGAGTGGAGTTGTTTGCACCTGTCAAAGCTGTAGACATGTTCTGGCGCATTATGTTACCTGGGGCCCCGGCTGTCCCTCTTTCAGATTCAGCTGACATTGACTTGCAAGGTCATGTTTTATGGGGACAGGCAAATGAATATTTACAAAGCAACTCTATAAGCCTAGTATGGAGAATGTGTCCTTAGCATATGAGAAGATCTTGAGTAGTTAATATGCTTTAGCCTATTAGGGTGTCTGTTTCTCACTCTTGAGAGCTTGTGACTTTCAGGGTGAGGTTGGTAGAGTAATCACTCTTTTAAGAGCTAAGCATTTAAAGAGCAGCTTTTGTTCCATACCTTCACTCATACTTCGTGCAGTGCTTCTTATAAGCCTGATATAATATCTTTAATTGCTATTGTTTATTATTTTTTATGATTGCATTTGACCCTTTAACAACTTGGGGGCTGGGGTGCTAATCCTCCTTTGCAGTCAAAAAGAAACCCCTGTATAAATTTTGACTCTCCCAGAACTTAACTACATAGCCTACTGTTGACTGGGAGTCTTACCGATAACATGAACTGTTGATGAACAAATATTTTGTCTGTCATATTCTCATAATATAGTAAGAAGAAAATGCTATTCAGAAAATCAGAAGGAGTGACAATATATTTACTGTTTATTAAGAGGAAGTGGGTCACCCTAAAGGTCTGCATTCTCGTCGGCTTTACTCTGAGTAGGATGAAGAAGAGGAAGAGGAGAGGCTGGTTGCTCTTGTCTCAGGAGCAGCAAAGGTGGAAGAAACACGCTTGTCAGTGGACCTGAGGAGTCCAAGCCTGTGCTGTTCAAGGCTCAGCTGTTTAAGACTAATACTAGATCATCGCAGATGCAATAGTAACTACCAATAATTCACTGTGTTTTCTTTCCATATTTATGCTGTGCATGAACCTTATATTTTCAGGATCACATATGTACATATATTCATATATTTTAACATCTTAATTTATATTCATTCATCATTTTTAAGTGTTTTAGTATCATGATTTTGTTTTGGTAAGACAGAGTCTCAGTCTGTCACCTGGGCTAGAGTGTTGTGGAAGGATCACAGTTCACAGCGACCTCAAACTCCTGGGCTCAAGTGACCCTCCTACCTCAACCTCCCGAGTGCTGAGATTATAGGCAGGAGCCACCACTCCTGGACTGACTTATACTTTTTAATGGCTGAATTATATTCTTTTGTACAGAGACATTAGGCTTTATTTAACTATTTTCTGACTGTGGGACACTTAGTTTTTCCCCAGATTTTCTCTATTATATGCTTCGACAAGCACCTTCATATTTAAATCTTTGTCCCTGAATAATCTCTGATTATTTCCTATATTCTATTTTCTACAGAGTATAGACATTCTTCAGACCTGATTCAGACTACCAAATTGTTATTTTTTTTTTGGTTTTCCTTTTCTTTTCTTCTCTTTTTTTCTTTTTTTGTCACCCTTGGTAGAGTGCCGTGGTATCATAATGCACAGCAAGCTGAAACTCTTGGGTTCAGGC